AAAATCTATATTTTAACCAACTTACATGACATTCTATGTTATGTTGACTTTATCACATGAAAGTTTATAGTGCATTTCATCAATTAATAAATAAATGTGAAAATCGTAATTTTCAACACAAATAATAGTCTCGCTACCTTAAATTAACAACTTAACACTATGTTGCGTACTTGTATAAATGTCTGTTCAAAAATAAGTCTTTTTTTAAAGATCAACTGTACAAAAAAATGCTAATTTTGGTTGGTGTGCTCTTCTAATAGAAATGCGCTTCGAATGTAGCAAATTCTATGTTTAGCTTTGAGTATCAAGATTAATTTCTCGTCGAATAATGCTATCTGAATGACATTTAATATTATTTTTATAGGAAGAACAGTTGTTATGGATAAGAGCAAAGGTGAACCTGTTGTAAGCCTAAAGCCAAAAAAGGATGGCAAGCCGTCAACTCATTCTGAGCACGAAAAAAGAAAGAGTTCTACACCTTCTCAGAAGTCAGAAAAGGAAATATTATCATTTCATCAGATCAAAGAGATGAGAGAAAAAGAAAGAAAACGACAGATGGAAAGAGAAATGAGGGAAATCGAAAGGCGGCGTGAGAAACAAAGACAAGAACAGGTTCGAATTGATAGAGATATTCTTCGAAGAAAGCAGCGCGAGGAAGCTGATAAGATTCGCCGAGAAAGAGAAATGTTGGCACGAGAACGGGACAGACTTGAGAAAGAGCGTGCAGAAAGAGAACGCCTTGAACAAGAACGAATGAGGTTGCAGCGTGAGCGAATCAGAGAACAAGAGCGATTGGAAAGAGAAAGAGAAGAGCAACGTAGACTAGAAGCACAGATACGTTTAGACCAAGAGCGCCGTGCTGGGTTGAAACGGTCATTTGAAAATCGGAATTTACCAACACGTGACAATGATCCATATTTCACTGATGCTAAACGTGTGTCATTAGGTTATGAATCAACAGATGTCTCTCGCCCAGATCAAAATAGATACAGTGACTTTGACTTTCGTGATCGTGGAACACAACTGGCTGATAATGATCGTGGAACAGATTCCTTTGAGAGACGTGTAGAGAGATATGATCGGCGAGATGGTCGTTCTCTAGATACTTCTGATACTGGTAACAGGTTTAGCTACACGGACACTTCTACAAATGTTAGAAGACAAGATTCAGGTAGCTTCCGCACTGATAATACAAGAAGAGATGATGTTGTTAGAAGAGATGAACCAGGACGCCGAGATTCAGCTGGAACTCGAAGAGAAGCACCTGTAAGAAGAGACCCTTATAGGAAAAGTGATCCTGTCCAGCGAAGTGTTCCAGTAAAGAGAGTTGACCAACGTCGAGATTATGGCATGAGAAAACCTGAACCAGTATCACAAAGAAGAGATTCTTTGAAAAGTAGTAGAGAAACCGGTGACCGTAGAATTGTAACTTCTAAAAGTGATATCGGTTCTCGTGGAAGACAGTCTACTGGTATGAGAGATGACAGAGCAGTCGTCAGACATCCTACTGATAGAGACCGTGGAAGGGTTGACACCTTGCCTGACAGATCGCGTGATAGAGGTCATCAGACATTGAGAGACAGCAGACAGACGACACAATCTTCAGGAATGGTTCGGAGAATGGATTCTTCGTCAAGAGGTGTTGTGTCTGGAAGTCGTGGAAGCCCAGACTGGAAAACTGATCGTGGAGCCGTTTCTGGAGGCCGTTCTGAATGGAAACCTGATCGTGGGATTTCAAGTCAAGACAGACGTAGTGATGTTCGAAGCACAGACAGACGTGATCGACCTTCCGACTCTGGGCGACGTGGTGGAGATTCCTCTTACGAATCTAGGCAACAACAGACTGGTCATTTCTCGGATGTTCGTCGTGATCACATATCAGATTCATGGCAGTCGCGTGGTGGTATACAAGATGACCGAAGTTTAGGGCGAAGTGAAACAAGAGGTCATGGTAATCAGAATTTTGGTCCTGGGTTGCTCGGTGCACCTCCCCCAGTGGGTGAAGAACCACAGCAGTGGCCGCAAGGAGGTCTGGAAAATCCCACTGTCAACAGACATGGTGAAAGATGGCCAGGGTCATCTAGTGCAGTAAGTGCTCAACAGAGATCTGCCCCGATGCAGACCGCTGCTTCAGCAGCACCCATACTTGCGCAACGTGCAACTGCGAATTATATGGCCGCTGTTTCTGCAACTCAGCCCCCTGGGTTTCTAATGAATCAGGTGGGGCTTGGAGTACCCGGAGGGACAACTGGATATGCAGCTGATAGGCACCGTATGCAGTCTGATATATTACGATATGATCAGTACAAAGATACCCAACGCTCAATGCACAGATTTTAAATAGCCATGTAAAGAACATTGAATCAAGTTATAAATAAAGATTAGATCAAGTGCCGTTATTATGATTAGCAGCTTGTGTATTGTGTTGTTTTTTGAATCTTTAGGAGCTACTGTTATTAACGAAGTCATCAAACTGGACGCCTGAGACAGACAGGAAATATCAACCAAACCAAGATGGTGCACTGTCTTATGATGTCCGCAAAAATGGTTTCGAGTATCCCAAGGACAGGCACCAGCTGCAGACTACCTCAGCACCAGTTATGAGAGGATCTTTGCGGATCGCCAGAGGAAGAGGCTTGACCAAACCACCAAGAGGACCCTATGGAAGAGGCAACCTGGGAAGAGGCAGAGTTGTATCATCTCGAGGCAGGAAGCTGGGCAGATAGTTCAAAATTGTTTTCTGTACTACTGCTTGAAAAGAAATTCAGCTGAACCTACACATGTATGACATTTACGGTGATGGATAGTGGTGCTGTCGTTATTAAAATGGGATAAGACTAATGTTAATTGTGTTGGATTGGCCCAGTTAATTGTTATTGTTTTGCTCGTCAGAAACAGTGACACCATCCGAGCTAAGCATTGCAATGAATGCATGTTAATTGTGTGGTACGTTCAGAACAACTGTTTACATTTCTGTTCATGAGGTTTGTTTTTTTCTAATTCAATTGTTCTTTCTCTAATTCAATTGTTCTCTTTCCCCCCAAAATATGAAATCTGACCTTTTTGTCTGTGAAAACTTAGTTGTTTCGAACACGAAGTTGGGAGGACCAATTTTATAGTCAGACAATGATGTTGCTTTATTTTCATGCAGCATCTAATGTCCTTTAAAAATACCAACATTTGTTGCACAAGCATAATTTGTTTGACTTTAAAAAAAAAAACTGTTTAGTAAAATGAATTTGTTGTATATTAGTTATTGGGGCAATGCACAACACGCGTCTTGACTGCAACAGTCTGTACCCTTGTTTTTATGAATTTTTTTTATTCCAAAGTAACTCCATAAAGATCTTGTCTTGGTATTTATTTCACACTTACACAAGTTTCTTGTAAAGAATAGTTTCGGCCTTGATTGAAGACTAAAAATTGTACAAGAATCATGTTAAATTTGATTTAAAAATTCTAACTTTTTATGTTGAACAGTTTTTACAATGGCGTGTACACAGAAAGTAGCTAAAGGAGAGCTTAGTTGTATTTTGAGGTTGCATGTGCTCATAAACTACTGACAAGTTTTCTGTATTTTATTCAAATAAACCAAGTTTTCATGCTTTATGAACTGCTTCTTTATTAGTTTTCTCCAATCAATCACTGCAGAGTCATCCACATGTTTGACAATAACTGGATTTCAGTGCACATGTGCTCTTTTCAAGATATTTGAGGATATCCAACTGTCCTGACCATGCTTTGGTTGGGGGGGGGGGCGTACATATCAACCAGTTACAAATCTGTGTGGTCGGCTGACAGTGTTAATGGTGTGATGTTTACATAAGTAGTTTCAATATCTCCATACTAAACCTGCACTATGTTGACTTGGTCATTTTTTTTACTCCCATGTGAAGCGCTGGATTCTTTGATATTCCTCTGCTATAATCTGAAGATAAATTAGTCCTGGTTGGCTAAGACTTATTCATGAAAGCACATACGAGGTGGGCGTGGAAATGCATGCATAATAAGATCACACTGCCGACGTTCTCTCTGTCAGAGGTCAGTTGAAGGTGTGATTGTCAATTAGAACATTCATTAACATAATTTCATGTTAAAAAAATCGACTGGTTCCAGCAGTGTTGATAGAGGGCCATGCAGAATATCCTCCATTTCAGAATTTTTTTTTATTTTAAACTACAAAAACAAATTAACTGCGCCAGTCTACCCCAAGATTTCTCTACTTGAATTGGGTACTTACCCTTCAAAAGAAAACTTGCCAGGGGTACTGTAACTATTTGGGGCGGGTACATTGTTCGATAAGAGTTTAATGGTCAAATGTGCAACAATTCTTGTAAATAGCTTTAGAAATAAAACTACTGGCACGTTTTCTAGTTTTCCACCCATGTTCAACATTTTGCGGGTCCTGCTTAGTTATAGTGTCCAGTTCTTTTGGTTCATTGTACAGGGTATAATTTCTTTATGTGGGAAGCATAGTTATTTTACATTTAACAAAACGTGCTTATGGGTGAAATCTAGGCCCATTTAAAGGTTGAGTGTCCACGTTTTAGCAGAGCGTCTCCTATAAACCAGCAGCTTTCACGCGTTTCCTTGGACGAGATTGAAAATTCTGACTTCAATCGAAATACCACCTGCAACCATAAATTGTACAATATTGTGAGGTATATGCTGTAACCCCTTCCATTGATTATTGATATCCTGTAAAAGGGAGAATTTACTAGAAAATTTGCAATTAATTCAAGTGGTTATTCTGCAAAATCCGTTTTGGTTTGTGATCACGCCCTCAATGTTTTACCAACTATGTTTTTTTCGTTTTATTCAATGACCACGCCCTCGACGTTCAAGATGAGTTGAAAGGTAGGAAATTGGCATGATGGCTCTAAAAATCGAGGATAAATCAACAAATTTACTTTAGTATATAATAATTAAAGTTTATTCGATGAAGGTGCACCTTCAAGTATAATTCAATAATTTTAATAATTCTTTTTCAATAGCCCGACAGTAATTTCTGATTTAATATTCTGTAAAAAGTTGTTCCATGGTATAATACCAGTGACTGTTAAACTATTTTGACGTAGAACTATTTTGAAATTGTTGGTATTAGCAAGAGAACGCACCATACGCAAATGCACCTTATAACAATATACAAAAACAGTTTCTCGTGTGTCGTATTTGACTTCGGAACAAATGCATGGGAAGTGTATATTATAGCATAAACCCTAGCGTTTTAATTTGTGGTTATAAACTACAAGCACGGGTATTTGTTGGCGGACTTCTCTTGTAGAGGTCATTAACATATTTAGCGTTAGATAATTACCGTGCGAAGTAACAAGACGCGTCTAACGTTTGCATATTTGAAGTCGCGTACAAAACGCCAATCAGAGATGGTATTGCAACTTTAGGATAACTATCCGGTACCCGGAAGATGTTAACTTTGATGGAAAATCCCAGGGTTCCCGGCGTTCCACGTACGAAGTTATCAATATGTACTTATTTCTCGGGTAATTGCGCTAATTAGTGATACGTGAAGAATATAACGGTAAAACAAACCATTGTTGTTCCCGACATCTGTCCCTGGGTAAAATGTCCTGCTAGTATGGAGTGCTAGTATTACTCTCGGAAGCGTCTTGGTTACAGACACATAAATTGCGGAAATAAAAACAAAAGAATCGGCATCAATGGCCCTGGAGCCAAGGCTGTTACTTTATAACTACACTGCATATCTAAATCACTTGGCAAGTCTGAATACACGGACATCACTCAGCCATTAACGACGCGTGTGTTTTGATGTTTATCAACAAAGGTATCGACAGTTATTTCCGCCAGTCCTGATTTACGTCTTGTTTGCTTGTTATCGCCTTGTCACATCTCGTCGTCTCCATAGCAATGCAATTCAATTTCAGAGATGTCAGTGTCGAATTATCGAGAATTCACTGAATGACAAAAACAGTCTTCAAACACATCGTGCATTCATCACAGTTATTTCACCTTTACTGAAAAAAATAGCATTTCTCATACCGCCGAATGAAAAACAACTACTTCGAAGTTGCTTCTTGATGTTTGAATTTAAATGTGCTTTTCGAATGACGGATATATATTTTGTGTTTGTGAACTTTTGAAAACTTGTAGTGTTTTGGTAAAAATATATCTGTCATCAATGAGATAACTGGAGATGTTCATGTATATACCGATTCAGGTAATATTTAAACAACGGATGAGACTATGTTTACGGTTCTGTACGACTAACGAAGTGAGAGGCGGGGGGGGGGTCTTAGAAGTGCGCCACAGTCACCAAAGGCACTGTAACATGATATAGGGTTAGAAATCGCACTGCCTCGATGATGTTTTCTTTTAGAGCAATACAATTTATTAAAACAATCTGTGTCTAGTTTAAAAGTCTTTTGTTTAAACGACATCTCGCGCTATAAATGGGACCTCAAAAAGTTCGGAAAATCATACTTCTTATAGTGATGATTTTCTCGACCGCGATCTTTACAAACGTTAGTATTTTTTTGGGGGTTCCCATAAAAAATGTAGCGACGCGTCTTCTGTAGGCATACACGCAATGGGTGGATATGGTCTCATTAGATATTCACGACAAGGCGCTTTTATATGAAGTATGACCGATTTCGGAAAAGTTTGGAAAATCATGTTTCTTATAGTGATGATTTTCTTGACCGCGATCTTTACAAACGTTAGTAATTTTTTGGGGATTTCCATCAAAAAATTAGCGACGCGTCTTCTGTAGACATTACACGACAAGGCGCTTTTACGTGACGTGAGGCCGATTTACTGGAATTATTAATTCGGTCGCTGCGTGTTACTAACACGTATGGTATAACTGCACGGCAGTCTTCGACAACATAATGTCCATGCAGCGATCTTCCAGTGGCTTGTGCTTCAGTGTTGTTGTTTTTTTCATTGTTATAAGATACCGCCTGGACCAATCGATACCTAGTATCTTAATCACAATAATCTATCATATGTGTATCGTTAATGCCCATTTTGCCACTATCTATCGATCCAGTTTTAGCGTGGGATTAACCTACGAAGTCTCGGGATGTCGGAAACCCACACAGTGAACTAAGTATACCAATTCAATTGTTTTTTACGTCTGCATTTACTCTAAAGCAAAATTGTTTTTCCAGTATATTCTCAGACCACTAAAATAAGTCATATCAGGTTGTTTTGTTGTAGTTGCAACAGGGGTCAGGCATACTGCGAATGTGTTATCTCGTAAAATAATATAGGAATGATTCAGTGAAAATAAAATCCAGAGAATATACCTTTTTTCCTATATTTTACAACCAACTTTTCAAAAATCAGTAAAAATAAATTCCATACAAAACACCCAAAAAGTCTTTTCAGCGAAAATTAATTCCATCTAAAATAAATTATTTTACAGTAAATAATAATTTTCCCATCAAATATACGTACTGTAAAATACAATAAATTCGCTCGGAATCTATTTTCGCTGAAATGAATAATTCATTCATAAATGTCTTTCTCCCTATAATTTACATTCAACTGATAAAAAATCAGTGAAAATATACTCCATGAACTAAAAACACCCAAAATGTCTTTTTAGCGAAAATTAATTCCAGCAAAAATAAAGTATTTAACAGTATTCCTATAAACCGCGCTCACTAGTGACGTCAAATGACGTATGCGAGGTCGTTCAAATCGACTATCGTCTATCTTTGTAGTCGCTCGACCCGGCTGTTTGGCGTCTAGAATATATTAAAATCTCTCAAAAACATAATCCTCATTCACTATGAACGACTACACGTCCAAACGACATCGACACTTTGTTTTAAGTGTGTTTACACTGCACGAGCGCCAGTATTATTTCTCGTACGCACGGTAAAGAAAACTACCTTATACACTGTTAGCACCAAGTCTCACCCACCGAAATTTTAAATAGGTCGTTGTTTACAGGTTGTGATACACGTTTTTGAAATGTTTGTCAACGTTTTAGTTGACAAGCACATGACATACAGTGACAGCATTTGACATGGGTTTATGGACAGCTACAATTGTTACTATACGCTTTTAAACCACACTTGTAAACGTAGGACATTCACCCGGGATATCTGACTCGTATTTCCGTTGAATCTTTTTTCTTCAAATTTTAGGTTCAGGACTCATTAGTCTTAGTGTTAAATACACGTTCTTTACAGTGCAGAACGTCTACAATTACTGTGTGACCCACAGAATGTGAGTGGTCACTAGGTTTGACGTGACAAATCAGGCGATATAAGGTATTAAGTACAACGTCCGTGCTTTCAGAATGAGTGAACCTTTCTACACATAGTGGAAATCGGTCACTTGAGAAACGCAGTCTTTGTCCGAGAACACTATAACGTCTACTAGCACCAAAATAGCGATCTATTTTTAGGTATTCTTTAGAAACCGACAGTGACCTTATTTGCCACTAACATAATATGAACACAAGCGAATCAACCCCCAAGGGAGGGAAATATATTAATACTTTTGAGACTGATTTTGTTTTGTTTCTCTCTGCTGCTAAGAGACGGGCAAAAAAGTTACAACGGTTCGTGATCGTCCAATGACGCGTGTTCCACGGTGAACTCTTTATCGTCTTTGTT